AGGATAATGACCCAGAAAATATTAATGCATGGAGAAGTACAGATATCAACAACTCTGAATCAATAAGTAATTCAGAAGTGCTGGGCTCAATATAAGGAAATTATAAGAATACCATAATGGCGTTCAGTTAAATTTCTGTGCATTGTAGTGATAATAAAAATAAATCTGAATGAACTCTTAAATAGGAGTGAAATTGTAAAATATAAGTAATAAGAAAGCATAGTAATAGCTTAATTGGCAGTATTTTTTCCTTAATTTATTTTCTAAAATAGTGATGTGCCACACAATCAATGGTGCCTTAAAGTCAAGAAAATAAGGACTTCGGAGACTATAAAAATGAGAAAAACAGTTCCATCTCTCAAGATATTAATAATCTGGAAGGAGGAATAACAAGCACATAAAGAATAATAGAAATACAGAAAGTATATAGTAATTGTCCCCAAAAGAGGTACAAGCAAAAAGATTTGGGCATTTAAAGGAGGAAGAGATCACATTAGAAAAGGCTCCATGGAGGAAGTGGCAGTTGAGAGGACCTTGAAGAACCAAAGAACGGGTAGGATTCCAACAGGCAGAGATGGAATGGAGTAGGAAGAATAAAGAGAATGAGCAAAAAATCAGATCAGAAAAGTGGGCATTTCTGGGAAAAGGTGAATTGCATATTTGGACTACAGAGTTTGTTAATGTCTTTGGCTTTATAGACTTAAGAATTTGATGAAAGCTATGAACCCTATTCCTAGAAAGAAAAGCACACATTTGTAATAAAAAGCCTTGCGTGCTATTTCTGGGGCTTTCCTATTTCCAGGCAGCATAAAAGGGGGAAGAGGGAAAGGCAGCCTGTCGGACGCCCCCATGGGATGCTGGTGCTGGTGACCAAGGCTGCAGAAGTCCCTTTTCTGGATGAGAGATTTATTTCTGACAGCACTTGGGAAGACTAAGAGAAATAAAGTCAAGGGTTAGGGGGCCTCATCCAGTCCACTTATCCAGAGATTAAAAGAGCTGGGATATCCCTGGGAATCATTTATAGTTGATTGGATGATATGGGCTTCCAATTGATGAGACAGGGGCTAGAAAATGTACCTGGGAAATGAAATATATGGCTAAAAGGTATGCCAGGCCTTACTAGGGAAGATGTTGACTTCCCCCAACCACTGGATTTTATATTTAATTCAGGATATAAGGGGGACATTTCTGAGAACAAATTCTCAGAGCTGTGTGTGTTTAGGAAGAATAATCTTTAGGATTAGAGGTGTTTAAGAGGCTGGAGGAGACCAGTTAGTTTATTACAGTTGGTTGTTATATTGTTCAAATGCATTTTATTTATTTAATTTCCTCTTCTGTCCCTACCACCTACTACTTGGCAGACAGCCAGGCCTTTAGTAAGCATTTGGTAGTCCTCACTGAATTGAAAGGCATAAATTCACTTGGAGGGTCCCCTTGTAATGTTTCTGTTCTTCACCAGGTGGCACCATTACAGCATTATTTACAGAGCAGGCTTCCCTCTATGAGCACAGCGCTTCCAAGCAGAAAGGCTGTGCTTCTCTGAGGGAATTCACCTCTGGAAACATTCTAGAAGGGAGGGGAGGGTGGAGAGGACGAAGGAGGAGAGGGGGATGGTAGCTGGGATAAAAGAGTCAAGGATACTCTTTTTGTCCTATATCATTTTTTACTGTAGCTGAGTATCTTGGTTGAATTTCTATTCCTAGGCATGTAGATTGGGAAAGATGATTAGGAAAACCTGCCTTTTCAAAGTTGCAAGCAGTTTTCTGTCTTGCAAGGAATATAGATGTAAATATGTTTGGGAAAGAACTGTTCCTTATTTCTGAGAAAATTTCTGGGTAAGCCATTTCATTATACATATCAAGCAGAGACCATACTCTGTGGTGCTACTGAGGCCACACCTAAAACTGCAGATTTAGCCTCGCCGGTGTGCCTCAGTGGTTGAGCATCAACCTCTGAACCAGGAGGTCATGGTTCAATTCTGGGTGAGGGCACAGGCCCGGGTGCTGGGCTCGATCCCCAGTAGGGAGTGTGCAGGAGGCAGCCATCGATTGATGATTCTCTCTCATCATTGATGTTTCTATCTCTTTCTACTTCACCTTTCCTCTCTGAAATCAATTTTAAAAAATGTATTAAAATATATATTTTTAAAAACCTGCAGATTTATGTAGGAGGGTCTTTGAGAAATAACTGTTTCTCTAGAGCAGATTTTAGTTGTACCAGGCTAGAGTTATAGCATATTTCTACATAGTTGTATGTGTTTGCATTTTGAAACTGAGCTAACCCTGAGAGATTTCCCTTAGGCCATTGAGAGACAGGAGTGCCAGAAACTGAGAGAACTGTGATGAATCACACTCCGTGTTGTGTTGGGCCCAGACATGAAGTGCAGCACAAAGCTATGGAAGGGACTATTTCCTCACTTCTATGTATGAGCAGTGCTCTGGCAGAGTGAAAGTATTAGAAGATCCTTAGCACATTCTAATGGGTGCCGATATAACTTGAATTTGTTTAGTAGGCTGTGAGTAATCAGATTCATGTGAACATTTCAATTCAGTGAAAATACTCTGGAGGCCACAGGAGGGAAGGGCGTATTGCCAGTTCAATACAGCACCAGTTCAGACAGAATCATTTCTTCTTTGGTATTTTTTGAGTAAAAAAAAAAAGTTTCACTACCCTTTAGCTCAGTGATTCTTAGTTTTTTAACTTAATTCTTATCTTTAAGAATTAAGTTTAAATAATAGATCTTCTCTCTAGAGAGTTTTCTTACTTACATGAGTTTTGCATTCAATTTCAAGGGGCTATGATCCCCTGAAGTTCAATAGTGAGCCCATCCATGTGTCCCAGGCTAGGAATCACACCTGAAACTCACTAATTAGGACCATTCAAAGGAGAAATGCAAGAGGTGAGTGGGGAATAGGGAGGAAGGAGGAGGTGGGAGACCAACCTGTGCTGGATCCCTATTAGATGCTGGTGCAGGTGACCGAAGAAAGTGAAGACTTGCTTTTCCTGGGGAGATTTTTATCTGTCTGGACTTGGAAGGAATAGATGGAGAACTTCTAAGAGGCCCTGAGCTAAGGAACTAATAAACTATTTATGACAGTGGGCATAGGAAGGGGAACCAAAATGGAGTGAAGGGTTACAGGGCTCAACCTGAACTTTGTACAGAGATTGATTCTACGCTGCCTTGAGATTCATGTTAGACTCTGAAGAATCCGAGTTACGGGGAACAAGAAAGGCACAAAAATGGAGCTGTGGCAGGGAGTGTCTGGGAGCATCAACATCTTCCTCTCAAGGGGAGGGTCTAAAAGGCCATCTTTTTGGTGTCATTACTGTATTATTCACTGGACTCTGAGAAGGGTCACTAACCAAAACCTGAGCTGCAATTTCTTGTTCCAACTGAGAAGATAAAATGTGACTAACAGTATCTCCTTTCCAGGACTCTTAGACTCCCGAAGAGCAATTAGCAGCATGGCTCCAATCTAGGGTTCTTTTTTTTTTTAAAATATATTTTATTGATTTTTTTACAGGGAGGAAGGGAGAGGGATAGAGAGTTAGAAACATTGATCAGCTGCCTCCTGCATACCCCCTATTGGGGATGTGCCTGCAGCCAAGGTACATGCCCTTGACCGGAATCGCACCTGGGACCCTTCAGTCCGAAGGCCGACGCTCTATCCACTGAGCCAAACCGGTTAGGGCCAATCTGGGGTTCTTGAAGTCTTGGTTTTGCCAAGTGCTAGCAGTGTGACCGTGAGCAAGTCTTGGAGTATGTTTCTGGAACTGTTAAGTGAAAATAATAATAGTGCCTACTGCATACAGTGGTTGGGAGATAAAATTGGGCAGTGCCTGGCACACAGTAAGGGCTTAATAAAGGATAGCTATCATTGTTGTTAATGGTACTAAATACTGGAATGTTAATAGGATCCCATTTCCAGCCTCTTCCCAGGGATACTTCCCCACTAATATACTTTAGCTGCCCTCCTTAATGCCCACATTCCCCAAACACTGTACAACTCGGGGCTTCCTCTGGTCATCCTATGGGTACAGAACTAGCCCTGAAGACCTTTTCGGCCCGTAACTGTATGACATTTGTGACCAAAAGGTCCACGTCAGAATCTTACTATCCCCTTTACTTGATGATCCTGAAGGATAAGAGTTCTTTAGATAAGAAAAGATTATATAAACAGAGAACTTCTAGAACCTTCCCTAGGTAGTTTTGTTTTCCCAGAGGAGTCAGTCATCACAACCCCCTCCCCATTCCAAGAGAACTACATATAAGAAAACTAACATTTGCACAGAATTCCCAGGAGCCTTAGACATTTTCCTCCCCCCAAACTTTTTGTCCTAAGTCTCAGGCAATCATTCAGTGTCGGAACTGACATTCAAGCCCAGATCTGTGACTCCGGTGCTTTTTCCGCCTCTCCACAGCAACCAGCAGCAAGAACACACACACACACACACACACACACACACAGCTCATCCTTCTACATTTTGTTTGGGACAGCCTTGGGAAATCCCCATTGCCCAGGGAGCTGACTAGAGCTCCAGTCAGTCTGCGCTCCCTGGGGTAAGGCATTCCCCACTGGAGGCCTGAGGCAGTTATTGCAGTTTCCTTTGTGATGTGTCACTCTGCTCACAGAGATCCCCAGCAATCCCTCCCAAACAATCCCCTCCCCAACCCTCCCGTGAAACAGGCATCATGCCCTTCGAGGACTCAGGGGCTGGGCGCTTCACTGAAAAGAGGTCTCTTGCACATCTGGAGTCCTGGCTACTAAAAACCCTTGTTGGTTTGGGAGTCTTAACACGTACCCTATCCTTTCCCAATCCAGTTGGAGGTCAACGTCCAGGATGGAAGGGGGAGCAGGTAGAGTGGGCAATGCCTGCCCTGACGAGGGCAGGTATGGTCAACTCCTTGGAATTAGAAGCAAGGAGAGAGGAGGGAAGGCATGGTCCCTGCAGTTCCCACTAAGCCCAACCCTGACATCCCCTTGGTACCAGTCAGCAAGGAGGGGGATGACGCCTCTTTATTAAGATTAACACCAAGAAAAGCATTGAGAAGGAATACACAGAGGAGGAGGAAGGGCACACAAAGTCACCACTGGAGGAGATGGGAGGGAGGCACATCAGTTAAGAACCTCAGGACAGCCACATGCTCCATGCCCTGGTTATGGGGGGAAAGGGGGAAGGAGAGGGGAAAGCGCCATGACAGCCTGGGGCTCATAGAAGGGTCTGAAGCCCCCTGAACCTAACACCAGAGCCACAAGCCCTGCCCCTCAGGGCTCACATACTACTACACAAGTGGACACACATAACACACACAAGACATAATGGAGGCAAGACCGAGAGGCAGAGGGCAGGGACATATTGACAGGAAAAGGAACTGAAGTTAAGCGGGTGTAGCCAGGAGAGAGACAGTTTTTGGCTGTGGCCCCCAAAAGTCCCTCAAATGTCCCCTAAATCTGGGCTGTTGCTGAGCACCCCCAAGTCTCTGCCTGTGAACCGGCTCTTTGTTCTCTAAGTCCCAGCGAGTGGAAAAAGCAATTCCAGATGTAGTCAGCGACAAAGCAGGATCCGCTCTGCATGCAAAATCCTAGAGAGGTTGAGCTACTTTGTCTTCATGCACATTCACAGCCAGCTCCTCCCAGCCCAGGGGCCCTGGGAACCCCATTCTCCTAGATTTCTAGGGCTGCAGTTCCCTCCTCAAGCTTCCTTTACCAATCAGCAGCCGCAAAGATCTGTGAGGGGAGAGGCTTCTGCAGAGCGCCGAATATCTTGGATTTCAGCAGAAGGGGAAATTTTCTGTTGCCAGAACAGAATACCCCAATTCTTTAATTTCTAGGTAAATCGTTGGAGACGATTTGCCATAGTCCTGGATAAGTCCTTTTTCAGAATAGAAAAAGCAGAGTTTTATTTACACAATTCAGGGGTTCTCCTGTTGGCTGGGGTGGGGGCGGAAGGACAGGGGAGGGGATGGATGGGAGTCCAGAGATGAGCGCATCCTCTCCCGGAACCTCACCTTTCTGCAGTTTGCTACGTCTCTCGCTTGGTTAGGCAGAAAGAATTCTCGATGCTCCCAAAGTCCTTCACCCTATAAATCCTTCCTCAAGGAGTCTCTCTCTCTCTCTCTGCCTGATCCACAGAGCAGCGGTCGGAGTGAAGCGTGCTGCACCGCGCTTGTTCAGTCCACTCGCGTCATGCACTCGGAAACCCAACGCCAGCTCGGGAAAGCGGTGCCCCTGGGAGTCCCCTCACAGGGAGGCCTCGCCCTCCAGCTGCAGCAGGGTGATATCGGGGAGATCCAGGGACTCCACAAGTGGCCCGTCCCCCCCAAGGAGACCAGCGCAGGGGCTCTCGGCGCGCTCAAAGGGACTCGTGGGTGTGGAGGAGCGGGGCATTTCCTTTTCTTCATCGTCGTCCTCCTCCTCGTCCTCGGGGTCGCGATCCAGCAAACCGCTGTCCTCCATCCCAGGCGGAGGGGTCTCGGGCTCTTGGGGGGCGCCCGGGAAGCTCCCGTGGCCGCCGACCACGCCCAGGCCGCCCTGGCGGGGCGCAGTGGTCATGATCTGGCACATGGAGACGATGGCCCGCTGGTTGGCGCACACGTCGTCCGAGAGCACCTGGATGTGCGAGGCCTGCTCGTCCAGGGCCCCCCGCATGGCCCGCACGTCCTCAAACAGGGCCTGCAGCTGGGCCTTCAGGTGCTCCATGAGTTCCTTCATGCCGCCGTTGTACTCGCCGGAGATCACGTCCCCCACGGCCGGCACGGCGGACACCTCCAGAGGCGCCGGCAGGTCGCCGCCGTCCTTGGTCATGATCTCCAGCAGCCCGTCCTCCATGGGGTGGCAGAAGCGGTGGTGGCCGCTCTGGGGCAGGTCCAGCCCGGCCTCCCGAGCGGGGCGGAGGGAGGGGAGAGGTCCCCGGAGGGACGGGGAGGAGCCGAGGTGAGAGGCGGCTCCCGAGAGGGGCGGGGAGCCGACGTGAGAAGGTGAATCCGGGCGGAGGGCGCGGCAGGATCCGGGAGGCCCGGAAGAGCCCGCGGGACGGGGACCGGGACCGGGCGGCGTCCGTCCCGCTCACCCCGGGGCGAAAGCGCCTGCCCCGCCTCGCCTCTACGGCTGCGCCCGTGTCCGCGCGCCCTCTGGGCGACACGAGCAGCAAGTGCTCGCTGAGTCCCGGGGTCACAGAAGCGTTTGCGGAGGGGCCGGGGCGAGGCCGAGACCCGCGGCGGGTCGGGTTCGGGACTCCCCTCGGCTATTAACCGCGAGTGTGGCTGGAGCGGCAGGGGCGGGTCTCCCAGCCGCGGATGCTCCCGTTTCCAAGGCGACGCATGGCACGTCAATGACGTGTGTCTCCAAGGCAAGCAGGAAGTGGAGGAGAAAGGGGCGCGTGGCTGGGAAGCTGCAGTGGGCTCTGGTGTCTGAGCGAGCGGGTGGGGCGGGAGGGGAGAGGGCGCTGCAGTGGCCTCCGCTGAGGCTGGAAAGAGCGCGTGGCTGCAGTATTTGTTAGGAAAGCATGAGAGCAGTGCACTGCATACACCCGGGTCCGGAGAGGGGGTCCCTCCCCGCGTTGGGGTGCTAGACCCTGAGCGCGACTGCTTTGGTAGGCTTTTAACTTGCTCGAAATCCTTTCTCAGAGGATGGCGCTAGAGCCCAGTCTTGCTTCTCTGTCCTCCAGCGGTTGGCAGGAAAGCAGAGAGGGTAGAAAAGGGGACACGAATAGGTCCAGATTGGAGCTGGAGCGCGGCGGGGGGTAGGGGGGGGTGAGAGGGGGGTGTGGTGGGGGGCGCTGGAGCGGGCCCCGCCCAGCCTTGGCGGTGCAGAAGCGGGGAGGGCACCCCGGGGGAGGAGGGGCACCCTAGAGGTTTCCGCCTCTCGGGGTTCTGCAGTAAATCAGCCCTCTCGCTGTAGACAGCACAGGAACAGAGAACGGATGGGATTCCCTCCCGTGTGAGACCTAAACACTCCTACCCAGGGTACTGGGGATTTTTCCTGGATGGTGAGACAAAGTACTTGAGTTTTGAGAATGAAAGCTCAGTTAATTTGGTCTCTTCCGGACCCTCTATCGCCATCACGGAATCCCCGGCACCTAAAATAGTGCCTGGCACGTAGTGAGTGAATGCTAAATACCTTCGTTGAATGAATAACAAGAACTACTATGTCCCCTTCCTTCACCCATAACCCTCCAGCCCACACATAGCGGATTTAGGAGACCTGAATTCAATTTTGTTCCTGGCACTTAATTCAGAGACCTTGAATAAACTATTTTCCTGGTTTGTTAGGGGATTGGACTGGATAATTTTTAATATTATCTCTACTCTGAATAACTGCATCAGCTAACAGGTGAAAAGGAGAACTGTTGACAGTGTGTAGAAGGTGGATGTGTGTGTTGGGGGGCGGGAGGGGGGACACTGTGTGTGAAGATAATTCCCCCCTGGGCAGACCGGGTACCCAGGAAAAGGTACCTTTGTGACAACTCCTTTTCCTATTGAGGGGTGGAGCGGGAGGGATGAGGTAGGAAAAAAAAATCTGAATTTAACATATTTACAGATGACTTTAGATTGAAAAGCAAACAGCACCTGGGCAGCAGCATACTTACAAATTAGTAGATTAGAGAAGCCAAGTGATCAGAAACCAAAAATGAAGTTCACAAGAAGAAATAAATCTGGGGAGGAGAAACAAATTGTCTCACTCCCGGGCAAGGAAGAGCTGGGTGTGAGCATTCTGTATACCAGTGGTTCAAGGATAGCAAGTGTGTTACCTTGGTTTCCCTGGTTGCATATTCTAGTGATGAGAAGACTGGCACGGCCTGCAGGGTTTTCACCTGGGTCTGTTACTTCACATCTCTTGACCAGCACTTGACATGGATGATTTCATCTTGCCAGCTTCCTCACCCTTCAGGTGAATCCCTGCCTTCGATCTACTAGGAGTGACCCTGTCCCCAGGCTAGGGCCTACCATCTTAGCCTTAACCTGACATTAACCATGGCTAGATTATGCCATCATACAAGGCCCTTTGCCACTATTGTTGAGGGTACCATGTATGTCAAGGCTTTCAGGATAAGATAACATCATGCTGTCCAGAGGCACTAGCATGAAGCCCACTGGGAGTACAAGGGGTATGAGCCTCGAGAGAGGAAAAATTACTGGAGAAGCACGAAAGAACATGGGAAATAGGTGCAGAGATCAAGGCGTGTGGCTGATCCAGTCGAGCTCCAGGTCAGACATTTGAGAGCCAAGGGTAGGTGGGAACTGGGGGAGTGGACTAGTAGCAGAACTTGAAAATATGAGGAGACAATTGGTGCATCGGATTCACAACCAGATTATTTTAGGAATTCTAGGTGAAAGTGGGACAAGGGAGAATAGGAGAAGGGTTTAGTCTCAGGAAAATAAGGGGGATAGATGCAGAGAGTGAAGCAGAACCCCATTAAGCTTGCTGGGTTACAAGGCCAGGCCCGCTGGATACCAATGCCCTAAGGTTTATTGAGTGGGTCCACTCCCACGCAAAAGGGGGCTGAATGGGTACTCTGGCCATGTCATTGGAGTATTTACGCATACAAAGTATGCTATATAGCAAGGAAAAAAACCAACCTCTGCACACTCCTCTTCTGCTGTTTTTTTCTATCCTTTGGGAATCACCTTGCATTTCTAGTTCTTATTCCAGTCTCATGGGCCAAGCAGAAGAGACTCCATACTGCATAGACATAGGTCTCCATCCGGTACAACTAGTTCCAAATGTCACGTTCTCACGAAAATTAAGAGTCTTAGTAATCTCTACCATTTCCCTCTACCTGTTGTCTACCTTACCCCCAGTCTCGATTTTATATAATTTGTGTGATTTTTGCACTATAAATCCAGCAATCATGATGAAGGTGCTGGCTTAACTCATTTAGATCTATAATGCTGCATCTTAGGCCTCAATCCCAGACAATACTCCCCAAATTCAACTTTTATGAAGCTGAGTTGCCTTGGGGCCCAGTTCAGCATGATATCACATTCAAAAGAAACACAGGTAATAGCCAAAAAGAATTAAAAAGCAATTTAGATGTTTATTATAGTCTTTGGGAAAGTCCTACAGGGGTTTACATTCCTGGCATAGAGGCCAACATCTTAAACTTCTCTATTCATCTCACACATTATGGTGTAGCAGTCTGCCACTGTGTTTCTTTTTCCCCAAACACCCCCACGCTTTCTCTCAAGCCTGGCCCTTGTTTTTCACTCCCCCGCTCCCTTCACTTCTTGGATGTATTCTTTTTCTCTTCTGCAGGAAGAAACTCCTTGTCCTTGTTATAGTTCCTTTGATTCTGTCCCTCTTCCCCTGATCTGCACAGCTATCAATGACAGAGGGCCCTTCCTAGAGGGTAAGAAATATTGAGAGGCTAAGAATACTCATTGTTGTGGGTTTTGTCTGTTGCATATTAGACTAACTTTTCTCAGTATGAGAGGGTCATTTGCCTCTCATGTAGGTATGCCCATCTTTTTTGCTCATCTCCTTCACACTTATAAAGAGACATGGTCCTGATAGTTTGCAAGGACCCTGCACCCTTATGAGCCTCTGACTGGAGAGACTGTCCACAGTCTCGAGAGACTCTAGTGTCTCAGAGACTTGGTCAGGAGTTGAGCCACATACACACCCCTCACTTAAGGCTGGAGCTGGTCTTTCAGTTGCTTGCTCTGTGCCCTCAAACTACTTTTAGGAGTCCTCAAAGACACTTCCCACCCTCATTTCTTTCTCTTCCATGTTAACTTTACTCAGAACAAGAATTCCAGGGAACCTTCCACCCTCTCATGCCGTCTGATTTTCCACTGAAAATAACCTGTCGTTCCCATTAACCTGTTCTGCTGATGTTCGCCCTGTCTTCCCTGTCCGCATTGCCACTGCAATAGCTTCTCTTGTGTCAACACTTGCAGAGGCTCCTTCTCCTTTCAGTGCACGTTCAGTCATTTATCCTGTGCCATTCTGACTAGTTCCAGTCTAAGTGTCGTTGGGTAATTGGCCACATACATAGGCATCCAGACCCTGGTGCAGGGCCTCTTGCATACTCCATCCTCTTCATATATTTTTTGCCCCCAGAAAGTTGCCGGCATCCTCATCAGACATGAATAATGCTATACCAGTCCAGCCAGCATGGCTCAGTGGTTGAGCGTTGACCTATGAACCAGGAGATCACGGTTCAAGTCCCAGTCAGGGCACATGCCCAGGTTGTGGGCTTAAACCCCAGTGGGGAGCGTGTAGGAGGCAGCTGATCAATGATTCTCTCTCGTCATTGATGTTTCTATCTCTCCCTCTCCCTTCCTTTCTGAAATCAATAATAATATATTTAAAAATAATAATAATAATGCTACACCGTCTGAGAACACGCATAATTTCTGGTACCATGGGGAAATTTTGCTTGATAAATTGCCTCTCCCAGAGTATCAGTTCAATTTAGAGAAAATTATGTCTAGGTATCTGGGCAGGATATGGACTATGGTGTCTGCCACAGACTTCCCTTCCATTTAGGAATTTTTAGAAATTTAGCATTCCTCAGTACTGACTTGTTAGCTAGCTTCTGGGCCACTTCTCACCTGTCCGATCTTGAAGAAGTCTGGTAGTGTTTTAAAGTAGAAATTCACACAACACTTTGTAGATCTCACTCTTACTAATACATCTATGTATGCTCTCTCCATACCTCTCAGAGGCCCTAAAAATACATCAAAAGTGGTTTCTACCACGTCCCTTCTGCTATGAGGTGCTGTCCCCAAAATGTATATCTACATCTTCTAAGTGCTGCAGTGTAGTAAGGAAAAGGCCCTTTCTTCAACTTTTCCACCCAGACTCTGAAGCCTATGTTCCAAGAAGTCTTGCATGAAAACAGTTCTGTTTCCTGTGGGTCAGGCACCTATTCACAGTTTATAGGCACAATGCCTGCTTTGTTTGTTTGTTCATTGTCTTTCACTTTCCTACCTAAAGGCACAAGGATCTTCTGCACTCCAGAACTCCCTAGTCTCTTTACTTTGCTTTATTCTTTTCCACAACAATTATCAATGTCTGTTATAGTATATTTTTACTTGTTTGCTTATTGTCTTTTACCTCCAACTAGGGCATAAGATCCATTAGAGCAGTGGTTTGGCTTTGTTCACTGCCGTATCTCCAGCACGTAGAATAGTCCCAGGCACAATGGCTCAATGCATATTTGTTGAATGGATGGATGAATGAAGCCTGAGTCCATACCTAGAAAAAGAAACATTTTCTCTAAGGACATGTAGTCTGCAGAGCTCCAACTCTTCCTTATCTTAACAGTTTAGCTTTTTGTTTTTTTCAATCATCTACTTTGGTGATCTATGGCTTATGCTCACA